TTGAGAGTCCCTTGGACTGCAAGGAGATCAAACTCCTCAGTCCTAAAGGAAATCAACCCTGAATATTCACTGGAAGGGTTGATGCTGAAGTGCCAATACTTTGATACCTGATGTGAAGAGCCAACTCATTAGAAAAGACCCTGATGCTGGGAAAGATTGAAGGCAGATGGAGAAGAGGGCAGCAGAGGAGGAGATGGTTAGCTAGCATCAGAGACTCAGTGGACAGGAATTTGTGCAAACTCCATGAGATGGTGAAGGACAGGGAAGCCTGGCATACCACAGTCCATGGGGTCACCAAGAGTTGGACATAACTTAGTGATTGAAAAACAACAAAATTCTTTGGGCTTCAAAATGGCTTTGCCTGCCATTGCAGGAGGTGGGGGTTCTACCTCTGGGTTGGGAAGATCCCCTGGAGGAGGAAATGGCAACCACTCCAGTATTCTTGCCTGGGAAATCCCATGGACAGAGGAGCCTGGAGGGCTAGAGTCCATGGGGTCGCAAAGAGTTAGACACGACTCAGCACAAATTTTTTGTGAACACGGTGTTCCCTGGGGTCCTTGACCCTCTTCTCCAGCTTTGAAAACCTGAGTTCAAATTCTCTAAGTCAGAAGGAAAAGATTTTACTAATATTTGGAGATCAGTACCTGTCTAGTAGCCACTGTGGGAAAGTGGTCGGGTGAGGGGGAAAGGCTGCGCTTTAGTTTGCATATCATATGTCTCCGTTTAAGAGAAGGCTCTTAGCTTTAAAAAGAAACTGCTGGGACCTCCCTGCTGGTCCAGTGGTTAAGAATCTGCCTTGCTAATAATGCATGGGATGTGGGTTCAATCCCTGGTCTCCCTGGTCAGGGAACTAAGATCCCACATGCTTCGGAGCAACTAAGTGCATGTATGGTGCAAGTAAGACCTGACGTAGCCTAAAAAAACAAAAACTTACATAAAAGGAACCTTTGCTTTTTCAGATCTCTGTTGGCTGATCTGAATCATGAAAGCATATGATCAGTTTGAATTTTCTGAACTATTTAAGGTTGTACCTTAAGTTAAGCAAGCATCCTTGTCATTGCTGCCAAACTCGGAATGAATCAAGTGGGCCCCCCCGACCCCCACCCCTGCACCTTAGGATGGAGGAATTGGGCAGGAAGGAATCCGAGGAGGGGAGTTATTCCGGGATACCCAGCACTCTTAGCTAGGGGCCTGTCCTGGTCCTGGAGGGGCTTCAGGTGCTGCCTGAACCCCGCCCTCGCTTAGGTCATCTTTTCAGCAGACGTTTGCTCTTGCCCCATGAGCTGTGGATAAGCAGGGGAACCCTTTCCTGACTGCTACCCAGACAGTTCCTACTGAAGTTTGTTGCTTCTAGAGGATAAGGTTGAGACTGAGTTCCTATTTTGGTTTGTCAGTTCTGAAGTTTCAGCAAACACCCAGCCAGGTTTTTTCTGTTATTCTAAAAATTGCCCTGCAGTGCCTCTTAATGTGTGTACCACCCACAAATGACGTATCCACTCGAGTTCTAAGTGCTGCTCTTCTTTAAAAGCATCCCCTTCTATTCCTGTAGGTACGGTGAGGCCAAACCCACTTCTCCCTTTCAAGTGGTGCCCTGTGGCCTGAGTTTGTCCATCCTGGATTCAGGCAGCCAGCACTCACTTCTGGGAGGTCGCCCTCCATGAAACCAAGGTGCAATCAGTAGTTGATCCTTCTTGGGGAGCAGAAAGGGCCTGGACTCAGTGGCTGGCTGACTTAAGGTGAGCAGTATTCTTACCTGAAAAGAGTGTACCTTTCAGCAGGCCACTTTGAGGACTAGATGTGTACAAGGACCAGGCAAAGCACAGCACAGGTTCTCAACCCCAATTCCTTTCTTTCCGTCCCAAAACGTTGAGGGATGACAGTCGCCTCTGATGGAAGAAGGAGGTTTGTTCATTGTTTGCCAGAGACGCTCCAGATGGATTCTGAACTATGCCCAGCTTGGGATGAGGAACTAGGCCCCCGATCTTAACTTCCAAACATTAACTTACCAGCCTTGAATCAAGCTTATATTTAACTTTGAAAGTAAAAAACAAATGAAGAAGCAGAAAAACCTTCCGGTTATAGTTGGCAGATTGCTTTCTGTATTAAATGAGAGGTGACCACAGAGTCTAAGACTTAGGAGGTGCCCAGATTTTTACTGGCTGAATCTGCACAGCCCTGCAGTCTCTTGGGAGAAGAAAACCAGTCTGAGAACTCAGCTGCTTGTGGGAGCTGTAGAGACAAATGCTGAATCAGAAACTGACCCTGATTCAGAGTTCGTCCTCACCAGGGTTCACACATTTTTTCCCTAGGCAGTAAGCACTGTAACCTAAGAGGAAAGGGATAGATCCACACCTTCCCCAAAGAAAAGGAAGATGGATCTAGTGTCAGGCTCCATTAGACCCACTTGTGAAGGCTCTCCAAAAAGGAACAATGCCGCTTTTGTGATCAGCCTGAGCAGGGAGCTTGGAAACTTTACAAAACAATCTTCCCCAAGAGAAACCTGGTTCTCCCTCTCTTCCTGGAAAGAGGTGTGGATCCAGGAAAGTGCCGTGCTGCTCTGACCAGCGTTTTCTGAGATCAGTATTAAAACCAGACCGACCTATGTGAAACCAGGAATATGAACAGCCTCACTATATACACTGTTTCCACAGCCCAACCACAGGGTGTCAGATGATTTAGTTATTGTCTACCAAAGGGAGCTCCTTGCTGGAATTGTTGGTATTCTGCCCCAGTGCAGGGTAAGAACCCACCAGAGTGGATGGAGTGCCCGCCTTCTTAAAATGCAAATGGACAAGAAAATTCCAGGCCCACCTCCTTCTTAAAATGCAAATGGGCAAGAACTCCAGGCCCGCCTCCCTACCGATTCAGTGGCGCTGGTAGAGAATGCTAAGGAGGGACCCGGTGCCCCCCTCCCCTGCCCACGGCTCCCTCTGGGCTCCCTCTGAGGCTCAGTTCGCTCGCCTGAGTGCCCTTAACTTTCCCAACAACAATGGCCCCGGTGCCCGCCCCACCCTCTCACAGCCTCCCCCACACCCTCTAGGGGCCAAGAAACCCATCCTTCTTCCCACTTCCACATCTCATGACCCATTTCTCGAACATCTCCCCTAGGTCTCATGTCCTTGTGGAGAAAAACTGGCCACCCTGGTGGAATTGTGACTCTTACAAAAGTTTCATTTTGTTCAGTTTCTTTAAATTTCCATTTTGTTGACAGTTCAGAAATGATATAAATCTCCATTCTAATCACATTTCTAGCAACAGAACATTTAGATGTCAGCAGTAAACTTTATACAGGATAAATTTTTCACCACAAGCTTACTCACACCACACAGGCTGCACCGAACCCTGCATCTTATACTTTTACTTCAGAGATGCAAACCCACCTCCTACTTTGGCCTGGACCCAAACACACACACTGCCTTAAAAATAATTCACAGATACAAGGCTTTTGGTTTTTTCTTTTTTTTTTTTCAAAAAACATACTTCATATTTCCTCTTTTATTATATAAATATCAGTTTAACCTTTTACTGTAAGAATATAAATGTTTTAAGAGGATCTTTGTTATTTATACAAATTCACAAACAGTACAATTAATTGATAAAGGTCTCTGGGTTTCTTTAACTCCATGGTCTCGCATGTTGCTGTGGAGGATTCTAAAAAAATAAACAAAAGGAACAAAAAACTCCAACATAAAAATATACATCCTACTCAGAAGTGATTTTTTTTTTAAAGCCACAAGTCCCAACCCCCACCAAAATAAAGCAAGGCGTTTACTCCTCCATTTAGAAACAGAATTTTTAAAAACCCACCAACACCTGTTTTATTAACAGAATAGAGATAAGACATGAATTTCAGTCTCCTCCCCTTCACACCAGGGCCCAGGGCCTCTCTAAGCCAGTGCCAGTTCCAGCTCCTCTGCTCCCTACAGGAAGCCTCACTGTGACCTTTTCGTGGGGAAATGTGGAAGAGAGGGAGGGCAGGGCAGACTTTGCATATATAATCATCATTTTCAAGACACAATCTGCATCTCAGACAGACAAAAAAAAAAAGTCCAACTCATGTCTCCCACACATTTGTGCTATAAATTAAGTCAAGATTTAGGAGCACGGGCTGGGTCCTCAAATGCTTACGGACAAGGAGAAAAAGAAAAATAAGAGCCAGAAATGTGAAGTGGGAAACAATGGATGGATGGGGCTTGGGAAGAAGCCAAAACGAAAAAAGACGAACAAACCCAATGGGCATCTTTCCAGTCCAGGCACAAAAATGTTTCAGTCTCAAAATATCTCTCTTGTAGAATTCCAGGGCTTCAGAGAAAAAAGTAAACTAAAACGAGGTAGCCAGACATATATATGTGTGTGTGTGTATATATATATATATAACTTATATATATATAATATATAGAATATACTCAGCAGAAAAAAAAGAGACAAGTTGATGTCAAGTTTCTTCAAAAAATTTAAAAAAAGAGACAATAAGAATGAAACGAGCGTGAGCAGCAGAGTGCTGTCAGAGGAGCGATGAGGCGAGACTGGGATTAGTTACAAAGTGGAAGAAGGGTGAAAAGGCCGTTGTAGTTGGGTTTGCTTTTATACATTTCGAAATAAAAACCAGATCACAGTATTCAAATGAAAGCTTAAGTGAAGGCAGACATTTCCTCAACTCCCCAGGGCTGGAGGGATTGCTCACTCCCACCCCCATCCCCACTTGCCGGCGCAGCACGGACACAGTAGCTCAGTCCCTCCTCTGGACCCCCGCCGGCAGGAGTGGGTGGTGGGCGGCAGGTCCATCTCCACACCCTCCGGGAACAGGAGAGTGGCTGGGGGTGGGGGGGGGGCGGGGGGGAGAGGTGGAGGGAGCCCCCCACACACGAGAAGGAAAGAGGGGAGGGGAGCCTGGGGGCTTCCGGTCATCGCCCCCCCACCCCCGCGTCCGCGGCCGGAGGGCGAACAGGACGGGACTGGGGAGGGCGCGGGGGGGGGGGGGGGGGACGGTGCTGCCGCCCTCACCTGACCTTCTCACTGTCCGTCATCTGCCAGAGGCCCAGGTTGAGTACCTTGAGGCAGGGCAGCTGCGTAATGCGCTCCAGGCCGCGCTTGGTGATGCGGGTGCAGCCGTACAGGTCGATGCCGGTGAGTTGGCTCAGGTGCTCCGCGATCAGCTCCAGGCCCTTGTCCGTGATGCGCACGCACTGGCCGATGTTGAGCGTGCGCAGCCCGTGCATCTGCCGCACCATGCGGTTGATGCCGTCGTCGCTGATGTGGCAGGAGCAGAGGGACAGGGACTTGAGGCCGTCCAGTCCCTGCGCGATGTAAGCCAGGCTCTGGTCCCCCACCTTGTCGCAGAAGGACACGTCCAGCCCCGAGAGGCGCAGGCTGCCCATGGCCAGGTGCATGATGCCCGTATCGCTGATGTTGTCGCACGAGCGCAGGTTGAGGCTGCGCAGGCTGCCCATGTGCGACAGGTGCAGGAGGCCGGCGTCCGAGATGCCCCCGCAGAAGCTGAGGTTGAGGAGCCTCAGGCCCGTCAGTCCCCGAGAGATGTGCTTCAGGGACAGGTCCGTGAGCTTCTGGCAGTCCTGCAGCGTGAGCTGCTCCAGGCCCAGGCAGCCCTCGGCAGCGCTGCGCGTCATGCCGGCCAGGTGCCCGATGCCCACGTCCGAGAGGTGGCGGCAGCTGCGGAGGTTGAGGCTCTTGAGGCGCTGCAGGCCCCAGGCGATGAGCAGGAGGCCAGTGTTGGTGATGTTGCTGCAGCCGCCCAGCTCCAGCACCTCCAGGCCCTTGAGGTACTGGGCGATGCGGCCCAGGCTACTGTCGGTGATCTGCTTGCAGAGACTCAGGTTGAGCGCGCGCAGCGAGCCGATCTCCTGCACGAACGCGTGGCCCAGCCCGTTGTCGGTGAGGTTGTAGCAGCCGCTGAGGTTGAGGCTCTCGATGTTGGCCATGCCCTGGATCACGTAGCTGAGGCTGCGGCGCAAGCTCAGGATCTGCACCCGGCGGATGCCCCGGGCCTGCAGGCTGGGGAACAGCGACGGGTTGGCCCGGCGCAGGTGCAGCTTGGCCTCCACCCCCCGCCACACCGACTTGTGGTAGGCGGCGTCCCGCCAGGCCGTGCACACCTGCGCCGCGCGCCCCTTGTCGCGCACGTCCAGGTAGCCGAAGATCATGGCCAGCAGCTCGGGGAACAGGCACGAGATGTGCGTCTCCATCTTCCTCCCCGCGGCGCCGGGGAGGAGGCGCGGGCCCCGCTCCCGCCCGAGCGACGAGGCGGCTGGCCGGCCGCGCCGCGGGCCCAACGGACGCGCCTCCCGCCTTCCGGCTCGGCGCCGCTCCTCCTCCCGTCCGCGCGTCCTTCCTGCCGCCCTACCCGCCCTCCCCGCCCGGCGCGCTCGGCGCTCACATCCCGGGCGGGCGCCCCCGCGGCCCGGCCCTCGCTGGGCTCAGCCCCGCCGCGCCCGGCCCGCGCCGCCCCGCCGCCGCCGCCGCGCCCCCGGCCGCATCCTCCGGCGCCGCGCGGGCCGGGCTGCGCGCTCGGGCTGGGCGCCGAGAGGCTGCGGCCGCCTTTGTCCTCGCCCGCTTTTCAAAGCTGCCAGCGGGCCGCCCGCACTCGGCCGCCCCAGCGGGGGGACCTTGGGCCGGCGCGCGCTCGGCCCCCGCGTCCGCGCGCGGGGCAGCGCCGGCCGGCACGGAGCGCGCGCGCGGAGCCGACCCGGGGCGAGCGGCGGCCGCGCCGGGGGCGTCCGGGCCGGACCCGCTGCTCTCCGCGCCTCCGCGCCCCCGCCCCCCGCGCTCCCCCGCGCGCGCGCGATGGTACGAGCCTGCGCGCCGGAACTGCCGGCGTTGCCCTGGAAACCGAGCGCCGGCCCGCCGCGGGTTAACCCTGTCCTAGCCGTCGGGACGTGGGCCGAGCCCGCAGCCGCTTCCGCCGCCGCCCGCGGGGAGCTGCCGGCCACGCCCGGCCCGCGTCTGGACTCTGCGCCTCCGGCCCGAGGCTGCCCCGCGCGCCCCCTGCCCAGCCTCCCGCTGGCTCCCTTTATCCTCCCTCAAGACCCTCCTCCCAGATCCCGGCTGGGGGCCGCCCCGCTCCCCTCCGTGCCTGCGTCCCCGGGGCCCCGCGGCGCGTCTGTGCGGCCACCCCCTCGGTTCTCCCCAGTGGGCAGCTTCCCACGGTTCCTTTCTCTCCAGCCTTGTGCGGTAAACTGGGAAGAAACTCCGCTCTGTCCGCGTGTCCCTTAGCCGAGCTGGGCCCCCCCGGTGCGCACTGGGGATCTGGGCATTACCACTTCCTTCTAGCATGTTCCGGGTGTTTCCAGACACCGCCGCCGGTGCGCTCCTTGAGTCCCTGCGCATCGCAACTTCCTCCGCTTCCGCACTCGGCCGGGAGCCCCGGGCTGCGCCGCGCCGCGTCGCCTCCTCCTGCCTCCCCAAGCCCTTCTCTACGTCGCCTTCTTTGTCAGTGTCTTAGACGGTGAAGGGCCCAGTTGTACTGACAGTGAATTCGTGTGTGCCTTCACAGTTTTGCCTTTGGATAAACAGAGTGACGATTGGGCTTGATTTAAAGTGCTTCAGCAAATGTCTGTTCGTTTATAAACTGTGTTTGCTGGAATCATGAAATGCTGTAGTCTAAAAGTGGCTCCTGGGTTTTAAATAACCACTCAGAGGATAGGATTTCAGTTTCATTTTAACTTCCTCTAACCAAGAATTCCGCAATCAGAAAATGAACCTCTGTGTTTTTAATGAATTTGTGGATCCACACAAACCTGATTCAGCTATCAAAAAAGGAAATTGCGGGTACTTCTCTCGCAATCCAGTGCGAGACTGGGCTCCCAATGCAAGGGGGCCGGGTTCTATTCCTAGTGGAGGAACTAAGGTGCTAAAATCTCGCGTGGGGTGGGGTGGGGGTGGGGAATGGTTTAATTGGTTCTTTAAGGGAATGAACACGATTTTTACTGCGTTCCATATTTAGTATATGAGGTTCACTTTTGGCCAGTTATGTTTTGCCCAGGAGACCAGTAGTGGGTTAAGTACATACAGACTGGTAATAGACACCATACGTTTTAGACTTTACCACCTACCTCTCTCGTTCTTCGATCTGGAAATGCAGAAACAAAAACCTTTCTCCCCCCGCCCCGCTCCCCAATCCCCCCACCCCACCCCCGAGTTGCACCAGGTGTGAGGCCCATAGATTTGTATAACCCTCCTGGGATAATGGGCTTCCCAGGTAGCTCTAGTGGTGAAGAACCTGCCAGCCAATGCAGGCGATGGGATCCCCTGGAGGAGGAAATGGCAACCCACTCTCCTCTTCTTGCCTGGGAAATCCCCTGGACAGAGGAGCCTCACTGGCTATAGTCCACAGGGTTGCAAAGAGTTGGATGCAACTGAAGCACGTGCAGGCACGTGGAATAATAGAGGGTTATGCTGGTCATCTAGAGGATTCCAAATGTGCTGTCCAATAGAGTCACAAATCTGGGGCGCACCTGGGCTGGCAGTCTTGTCCTGGGGGGTGTATCTAGGCTTATGGTGGTCTCTCACCACTGCTGCCTAAACTTTCACCTTACACGCCCCGTAAAGTGACTTTTCTTGTTGGTCTGTGGGCGCAGACTTGTTTGTGTTGTTATCAAAGTGAAGTGAAGTCGCTCAGTCGTGTCCGACTCTGCGACCCCATGGACCCACCAGGCTCCTCCGTCCATGGGATTCTCTAGGCAAGAATACCGGAGTGGGTTGCCATTTCCTTCTCCAGGGGATCTTCCCCACCCAGGGATGGAAAGCAGGTCTCCCGCATTGCAGGCAGACGCTTTAACCTCTGAGCCAGCAGGGAAGCCCTGTTGTTATCAAGGTCCTAATAAAAAACACCTTAAACCTCCCTAACACAAAAGGAAGTCCTCAACCACAAATAGGAGGAGGGGAGGTTTGCTTGGGGATGGAGGTGGGGCTGGGGGTTGCCTGACCTGGAGTGAAGGAGCTCAGGTTAACCCTGTTTCTCCTGCTCTCCTATTAGCTTTGCTGATAGCTCAGTTGGTAAAGAATCCACCTGCATTGAGGGAGACCTGGGTTCCATCCCTGGGTTGGGAAGATCCCCTGGAGAAGGGAAAGGCTACCCACTCCAGAATTCTGGCCTGGAGAATTCCATGGACTGTCTTAAAGAGTCAGACACAACTGAGTGACTTTCTCCTCACTTCTGCTCTCAACTCTGAAAAGTCATTTGGTGGTACCTGGTAATGCTTTCTCGAGGAGCTGACCACCTGCTGTTAGTTCTCGAAAAACTTGAGTGCAACTCAAGAAAAAGTTTTTCGTGGGGGTTTCAGTTTAGGCTATGATTTGAGACACAAAAATAGAGGGAGAGCATTATGGTCCAGAGACTGGGTGACTGAGAATTATATATATTTATATAATATATATATATATATATATATATAAATAGGTAGAGAAATTGGAGTTCCGGTGTCCTGTTGGTGAGAATGTAAAATGGTATAGCTGCTGTAGGGAAGAGCATGGAAGTTCCTTGAAAACTTAAAAATACAACTACCCTATGATCCAGCAGTTCCACTTCTGGGTATATATCAAAAATAAAGAAAAGCAGAGTCTAGAGGAAACATTTGTACACCAAAGTTCTGGTTGCAACAACCAGAAGATAGTGAAACAGGAGGGAAGAGGGCAGGGCACAACCTTTAAAAGAATGACATAGCCAGAGGACACGACATAAGCTGATTAGAACCAAATAGGTCCAAGATTGAGAATGAATTGACTTGACCTTGAGCCTTAGTATACACTTGTTGTGACATCAGCAAGCTAAGTCATCTAACTACAGGCACCATGACCATTCCTGAGGCCAGTCATCAAAGGCCAAAAAGTGGGTGGTGGCCTGATTCCGGGAAAACTCCTCCCCTTCCCCCAAATAGTTTAAGTAATCCTCCCACTCATTAGCGTGTGAAATTACCTCACCCATAAAAACTAACCACACCACTTTTTGAGGCTGCTCTCACGCTAGTGGTAAAGAACCTGCCTGCCAATGCAGGTAGACATAGGAGGCACGGGTTCAAACCCTGAGTTGGGAAGATTCCCCTGGAGGAGGGCACAGTCACCCACTCCAGGATTCTTGCCTGGATAATCCCCATGGACAGAGGAGCCTGGCGGGCTATAGTCCATGGGATTGCAAAGAATTGGACACGACTGAAGTGGCTTAGCATGCATGCTCACCTTCTGAGATGGCCCACACTCTGTCCGTGGAATGTGTTTCTCTTTAAATAAATCCACTCCTTACCTATCACTTTGTCTCTCACTGAATTCTTTCCGCCATGAGACATCCAGATCTTGAGCTTCATTAGGTCCTGAAACCAGGTGTATGATCTCAGTTGGAGGACCATGGGTTTGGGGCAGGTTAAAGCCCTGGCCTCGTAGCTCAGTCAGTAAAGAATCTGCCTGCAATGCAGGAGACCTGGGTTTGATTCCTGGGTTGGCAAGATCCGCTTAGAGAAGGAAATGGCAACCCACTCCAATATTCTTGCCTGGAGAATCCCATGGACAAAAGAGCCTGGTGGGTTACAGTCCAGGGTATTGCAAGTGTCAGACACGACTTAGGACTAAACCACCACCACCACCAAGTCCTGGCCATGTGGGTTTGAGTCCCAAACTAGATTTTGGCCAGGTTTAAGTTTCAGCACATGGGTTCAAGCCCCAATTTGAGATGCATGGTTTGAGTAGGAGCTACCTAAGTGTCCCTCACAGATGATGGATAAACACAATGCGGTCTATCCATACAATGGAATATTATTTAGCCTTAAAAAGGAAGGAAATGCTATCACACACCACAGCATGGAGGAAACTTGGGGACTTTATTCTGAGTGGAATAAACCAATCGCAAAAAGATAATAGGGTATTATTTCACTTATGTGAAGTGTGCAGAGTGGTGAAAACTCCCAGAATCTGGAAGGGTGGTTGCCAGAGGCTGAGGGGGAGGGGCTGTTTATAGGCATAGAGTTTCAGTTTTGCAAGATGAACAAGTTCTGGGAATTTGTTGCACCATGTGAATGTACTTAACACTATGGAATTCTACCCTTTAAGATGGCTATGATGGTAAATTTTACTGTATATGTATTTTGCAACAATTGAAAATATAGGAAAACATAGAAGATAATAGTAAATGTGAAAATGAAGGAAACAGCAAACAATGTGAAATGAAGATGTAAATAAATAGGAAAAATAGGTGAGAATTGTTCTCACGTCGACAAATTGCTTGGGACACCCCCAAACCACTTGTTTACTGACTCCCAAATTATTAGTTCACTATATCCTGTAGACAAGAGCTTTATCCACCCCAAGAAAAATAAGGGCTTGGGGTCTGGTTGACTGGAGCCCTCACTTCAGGATGACTGTACCCTCTTGTGTCCTAACTGGAAAAACTCATGCAGAAAGAGTGACTGTTGAGAGTCACCCCCAGATGGATGGACACTCCCTCTGTCTACTCTGGAAATGTGGCTGCCACTTGAAATTTGTCGTTTGCAACTTTTGCTTGTTAACTCATACCTATTTTCATGTATTCCAACACCCAACCAAAGGATTAGAATTACTTGGATTGAAAAACCCCAAATATCAGCTAATATTTGTTAATGGTAACCAAGTAGGTTACCAAGTAGGTGGCTATGACAACCCTAAAATAAGAATAAGCCGTGTTGTAAACGTAGCCATTTCTAAGCACTGAACACTTGGGCAGCGTTTTCAATCATTTGATGGTTCAGGGGAGGTACATACAGCTGGTGTGTACGGCTCTGTGCCCTGGGGTAGACAGAGACGCAGAGGGTGTGTCTGCTCCTAAGGACTCAGAAATGCACTGCAAAATAGTGATGGAACTCAGCGGTGGAAGTGCCAATGGCTGACAGTTATAAATAAAACGTCCTCCGTTTAGAGGACCAGTGGAGAGGGAGGGTCCTTGTGCAGAACATGGCCCCTGGGAGGGACCTAACAAATGCTGCTCTGGTTTTTTTTCTTTTATAAACATACCATCAAAAAAAAAGCCCCACACAGAAGTGCTCCCAAATTACACAGATGCATTCTTACTGACAGTTAAACATTTAAAAAAATGTTATTTCCTGTTTCTGAGTAATGTGCAGGTCAAAGGAACAGAGCAGCCGACTCACAAGAGCGTCATGAGATGGGCGTTCACGTGGGGGTGGCCCTGGCTCTGTGCCCCTCATTTTCTCCTCCCCCAGGCAGGAAGAGTCAGTCCCAGACTCAGTGTCTGCCAGACAGACATCCCGCCTTTTGCCTCTGACCTAGGTTTTCAGCACCAGCTCTTGGGCTTCCTTGTGCCTCTCAAGCCTGCGTATGCATCTGAGTAACTTGGAAGGCCTTGG